CTCGGCCTGGGCGGCGCGGGCAGCAGGGCGCGCGATGTGCAGGGCAGCAGGGCGTGACGCGCGGGCTGCAGCAGGGCGCAACGCGCGGGCTACAGCAGGGCGCGACGCACGGGCTGCAGAAGGGCGCGACGCGCGGGGCAGCAGGGTGCGACGCACGGAGCAGCAGGGCGCGACGCGCGGGCTGCAACAGAGCGCGACGCGTGGGGCAGCAAAGCGCGACGCACAAGCTGCCATAGGGCGTGACGCGCAGGTTAGCAGGGTGCGATGTGCGGGCTGCAGCAGGGCGCAGCGCGCGGAGCAGTAGAGCGCAACGCGCGGGCTGCAGCAGGGCGCGACGCGCAGGGCAGCAGGGCGCGGGCTGCAGCAGGACACGGGGCAGGGGAGGGCGTGCGCGAGGCAGCGCAACGCGGGGCAGGGCAGGGCGTGCGCGGGGCAGCGCGACGCGGGGCAAGGCAGGGCGTCCGCAGGACAGCACGACGCGGGGCAGGGCAGGGCGTGCGCGAGGCAACGCGACGCGGAGCAGGGCAGGGCGTGCGCGGGGCAGCGCGACGCAGGGCAGGGCAGGGCGTGCGCGAGGCAGTGCGATGCGGGGCAGGGTAGGGCGTGCGCGGGGCAGCGCGACGCGGGGCAGCGCGTCGCAGGGCAGGGCAGGGCGTGCGCGGGGCAGCGCGACGCGGGGCAGGGCAGGGCGTGCGCAGGGCAGCGCGACGCGGGGCATGGCAGGGCAGGGCGCGCGCTGACGGCGCAGCACATGGCAGGGCGTGGGGTAGCGCGGTAACTGCAGTCGGTCAGTAGGTAATAGTGGGCCCGAAAAAAAAAAAAAAAAAAAACGGTCCTACGGACCTACTGCTCTGAAACCATGTCAGAAACTAACGAGCATGAATGAATGCATTGGTCAGAAATGTGGTACAAATACTAACCCTAATTGGGTTGTACCCCATATAGGCTATCCCTCTACAACCTACACTATACAACATTAAAGTTTGACAGTTCCTAGCTGCTCTGCCTACGACATGTTGCAGATAAGCATGCCGTACGCCATGAGCGATTCGCTGTAGTACTGCGCTCTGTCGTCGTCGGTGTCAGCCGTAAGTCTCGCGTAACTCACGTCTAAATAGTGAAAAATCTCATTTTGTAGCAACAGACCTAGCTCGAAGCTCTAGGCGTAGAAATCTTTGCCGTCAAAACATGCATTTGTCTTTATTTTTTATATGCTCAAAAACCTTGATTGCGCTGAGAGAATTGCTTCATCTCTCAGACAGGGAGTCTTGGGAGTTGAACCATTTGTTTTGGGGGAGAAGGTGTGCGGGGCGGTATCACGACCATTGCGACCGGCTGAGAGTCGCAACAGCTCTAGGATTCCCGTAATGTATGGAGCCTTTGTTCCAGAGTCGAGAGTCGCAGAAGCAATAGTTCGAGTGCGATGGTACTAATCGTCGTCGTCTCCTCGTTTGTCGCAGCCCAGTTGGTCTGCGCTTCAACGTCAGATTTCCCTGACCTCCAGATCGTCCGGCCATTGTTACGCATGAGCATGAGCCAGGCGCCACCTTAATCCGCGGTGCCAATGATTCTCGAGTTGCTCTCATACCACGTTGCGATAAGAAGTTTGATCGTGCCTAGAATCACCTCGGGAAGATTTGAAGTGTGTTGCAGCGGAAGAGTTGACTTCAGATCAGAGTGGATTTAAAATGACTGAGATGGTAAAAACATTCAAATGCGAAAGGACATAGGCTATGCATGGACTCTAAAAGGTACATTCCCTTATTGCAATGAAGTTCAAGCGTGCGACTCCCTATAGTTACAATAATTGTTCCCGCCAAATTACTCGCTCCTGCAGCTGCCCGATGCTTCTGCTCCAACAATCTAGATGCTGCCTAACCGTACGCCACTCTGACAAAATTAGAAGAAAGAAGAGGATTGAACTAGCAGAAATGGGGATACAAATAGCAAACCCTAGAAGGGTTGTACTCGCTATAGAGCACCCCACTACAGGCTAGAGCATAAGATAACATTCTGACACACCCCCATAGCCAAAGTGGGGTGTAATCAGCAGAGCAGGCAAAGCAGTACAAGCTCAGGGTGGATCACAATGTCACCACACATTCTGAGCACAAGTTCAAGAAGCAATAGTTTAGAGTTCACAATTATGAGCAAAGCTAGTGGTAGTCACAACGGGCAAGCTAGGAGGAGGAGAGAGAGTGAGGGGAGAGGAGATAGGAGGCGACGGCTGAAGCTGCAGACACACGGGCAACAGGAGGCAGACTGGCACAGCGGCTACCGGGCGAAGCCCCCGGAATGCAGGAGTAACAGGCCCCGCGGCTCAAGTAGCGGCAGACGGGCAACGGACCCACGGGCGGCTGGCTACGACTGGGCTACCGGACGAAGTCCCCGGACTACAGGTGCAGCTGGCGACACGACGGCAACCTCCGTGCAACTTCCCCATACAGTCCCACCCCTCTGACACACACCCGCTGCTACACCGCTAGCTCCACTCCCACGCACCCCCCTTAAACCCTAAACCCAGTCTCCCACACATCCACCCCCCTCAGCGACAGCTGCAGCAGTGGGAGACGAAGGAGGAGGAGGAGCAAAGGGAGGAATGCACACCGGTCACCCCCATACCCGCCACCCCACAGCTCGCTCCTCAAGTGGCCCCCTCAGGTCGCCACGACAGACGACGGGAAAAGGGGGGGGGGGAGGCGGTGTGGAGGAAGGGGCCCACCACGGGCCTGGTAGGGTCGCAGGTAGGGAGACGGGGCCGGGGCCGCAGGTAGGGCGGCGGGACGACGGGGCCGCGGCCAGGTAGGGAGGCGGGACGGCGGGGCGACGGGTCGCAGGTAGGGAGGCGGCCCGAGCCGCGCGCGGGCCTGGCGCCGCACATACAGGCCGCGCGCGGGCCTGGCGCAGCCCGTACGGGCCGCGCGCTGCCTGTACGGGCCGCGCGTAGGCTACGACGGGCGACGGGAGGTGACGACTGGGTCCCCGTCGCCCGTCGCGGCGCCTCCCGAGGGCGACGCGCCGGTCGACGGGGCCGAAGCCCGCCGCCCGCCTCGGGGCGCACAGCGGGCAGAGAACCGCCGCGCGCCTCGGGGCGCACGGCGGGCAGAAAACCGCCGCGCGCCTCGGGGCGCACGGCGGGAAGAAAAAATGCCGCACGCCACGGGGCGTGCGGCTCAGAGAGTAGTTGATAGTAGTAGGAGTAGGAGTTGCAGCGGAAGCAACGAGGTGGTAAGTCCACCCACAGGATCGATCCAAGGGGATCGACCTGCTCTGATAGCATCACAAAATTAGAAGAAAGAAGAGGATTGAACTAGCAGAAATGGGGATACAAATAGCAAACCCTAGAAGGGTTGTACTCGCTCTAGAGCACCCCACTACAGGCTAGAACATAAGATAACATTCTGACACACTCTTCGTCTCACTTCGACCCTTTCGTCTTCGTATTCTGTATTGTGTTCCTCGCTTGCTGCTGACAGGCGTGCGCTGTATTTTTTGAATTTTGCTATTCATAACACAAGTTGGTGGTGAGCAGTGGCGAGCGTCTAAGGGTGCGTTCCTGGCTCGTGTCAAACTTCCGGTCTTTCCGAGAAGACCCGAAGGTTTAGGTCAAACTACCTGTCAAACTTCGAGTCTTCCGAAAACAGGGGGCAAAAGTTAGTGAGAAGACCTGAAGTTGGTCTCGGATAACCCAAAGTGGGGCCAGCTTCGTGTCATCCCCGGAAGATCGGAAGTTTGACACGAGCCAGGAACGCACCATAACACACAAGCAAACCCATGCCCAGCCAAGGCGTTCTCCAACAAGTCCTTATTCCCCCCTTCTTATGTGGGTTGGCCTTATAATTTCTTCCCACACAGATAAGTACCTGGAAGTCCGTTCGAAGAGACTCTCCTCCCATTCCCTCCCACCCCACTGAACCAACACCCTCATTTCCCCTCAATATAGATACCAATCTCATATGGGTATTCTTTTTTTAACTTGATCTGTGAACGATTTTTTTTTGCTGGCTCGGATTGTACAAAGACTTTTTTACAGGGTCAAAGATGGGTTGAGCTAGAAAAAGAGAAGCATAAGACCAGTTGCGATTTCCTCTCGATTGTGAAAATTGTAACATGTAAGCGAGCCCCGCCAGGAGTTTCGCTTTGAGGACGTGGCAAAACTAGGCGATCAATTGTCTATCGCGGTGTTATGCAGAGAATTACAAAATTAACTAGCGTGTAATCATGCTACAGTTATTAAGGTTTTTGTCATTGAATAGTGCACAGTAAGGGAATGCCACCGGAGATCAAACCACAACTTAGGAAGTGGAGAATCGATCGCCCCAGGTTCGTTTTTAGCGCGGTTATAAACGCGGGGTTTCAGTGCGGTGACCGGGTCGTTCTCCTCCCGACTGAGCACTTTTACTGCGTTCCTAGTGGCGATCGTTACAACGACGTTTGCGCATCGTTTCGCCAATCGATCCGCTAAATCGATCGAGCGACTCGATTTTCGGGCACGATCCTGCGATATTCGCAATTTTACCGTGTCCTGAGTCAGTCATTTCGAATGTTGGGGTTGTGCGTGATGGAAATTTTCTAGGAGTCTAGTAGGTTTCGGTAACCTCGTGCTAGACATGGCAGCCTGTCGCGCTGGCACCTAGTGGTAGAGAGTTTCGCATCACACGTGTGCGTATGATGCTTTCCCATGTGCCCAACTGCCAATGCTGCCACGCTTTGTTGACTCAACAACGAAAGAAGATACTGTATGTGTGGGGCCACTGCACATCACAGTGCGGGTGCAGACTCAACTGCCGGCCCGCCACTGATGGTGAAACACTTTGCGGGCCCGCCAGGCAATCACAGGGTGCTTCCGAGAATGCAAGGGGAAGACAGTCCGCGAGGCTTCCACGACGGTGGCGCTTCTTTGCAGCCCCGCCAGGCAAACTCGGATCTAACTAGCCTCGCGTCACGGCCGCGCCGGCGGGGGAAGCGTCGCTGCGCGGGCAACATAAGCGGAATGGCAACTAAGCAGCGTCCATCTCTCCACAGCCATGACGGGGTGGAGCCAAGCAAGCCCGGTGGGGCCCTCGGTGCATAACGGACTCCTCTCGGTTACCTTGTTTTATTCTGCCGCATCTGCGCACATGATGGCCTTCATGTTCATCGTTTCATCTCTCAGTTCCACCAGAAGCAGAAGCAGAATCACCAGTAGCTCTATCCCGACAAGCCTTATCGCTAAGAATCCCGTAAAATCTCATCTGGAGCTTAGTTCACGTTGATCGTTCCCATTAGCGTCAACATTGATCTCAGCCGGGCCGTCCTAGTCGTAAACCTGCGCCCAGCTGGTCGCCCAGTCCGTCGCCCAGCCCGTCGCCCAGCTCGTCGCGCCCGTCGCCCAGCTCGTCGCGCCCGTCGCCCTGCTCATCGCCCAGCTCGTCGCCCAGCTCGTCGCGCAGGTCGTCGCCCAGCTCGTCGTCCAGCTCGTCGTCCAGCTTGGCAGTCCGCGGGCCCGTCGCTGGGGGAGCAAGGACGGCGTCATTCCCACGGGCAAAACGGAGCGACGACGAGTTCATCCGCCTGAGACACACAGCCAAGCTGCGTTCTCGCATTTTTTGCTGCCATTGCTGGACTAAATTGCTCGTCAGTCGTTACCTGCTGTCCTTGAGCTTCGCGCGTGCCGCCAAGTGATACTACGCGCGTGCCGCCAAGTGATACTAGCCTTCGCGCGTGCCGCCAAGTGATACTGGCCTTCACGATCAACCTCCTTGCTACGTGTTCGCACTCCGAAAACGAGTCGTTTTCGCTTCGCATCGCATTCCACTTGACGACCCGCTTTTTCTTCGACAGTAGTGGAAGTCTCGTTCTCAGCATGGAGCGGCCGTACCAGGGCGGCAGCGCGGCGGCGTGCGCGGAGGAAGGCGGCAGGAAAGGCGAGACCTTTGACGACGCCGCCGCGGAGAACCTCCTGGCAAAGCTTCGTCTGAAGTTCCGGTCGGGCGAGACGCGGAGCTTGGCGTGGCGCGAGCAGCAGCTGCGCAATGTGGTGCGCATGGCGGAGGAGCACGAGGACGACATGATGGCGGCGCTCAAGGCGGATCTAGGCCGCGGCCGCATGGAGGCTCTCATAGAGGTGTGGCAATGGGTGTGGGGCGTTGATAAAGAGAGAGTGCGCATGTGATGCTTGTGTGGTGCGCATGGCGGAGGAGCACGAGGACGACATGATGGCGGCGCTCAACGCCGACCTGGGACGCGGCCGCATGGAGGCCCTCATAGAGGTACGGCGTCTGATGGGCGGTGGGCATCTGGTGCGCGATGGGCGTCTGATGGGCGGCATGGCGGAAGGGCGGCATGATGGCGGCTCTCAATGCTCAACGCCAACCGACCGGCGCGGTCGCATGGAGGCCCTCATTGAGGTAGTGCTAGTACCACCGCGGGCTCTTGACACGTCTGGGAGCAAAGCGCCACGAATGAGAACTTGACACGTGGCCGAATGAGTGACATGTTGGCCGGCCTTCCCTCTCATCCTGCCACCCGCCTCCGATTGGGAACTAGCATGCATCATCCCCAACCAAATCCGCTCGCTGTGCGGGTGCCATGCGCCTAGTCATCTGCAACCTGCATTTGCATTGCACAGTTCTCTGACAGCCGTCTTCCTGCTCCCACTCAACCCACCCAGCCCAATCCGCCTGCAGGTGCGGGGCATGTGGACCGTGGTGATCTCATGGTTGAAGTGACCTGTATTGAATATTGCTGCTCTTCTTCCCACCCACTCACCCCCTCGACCCAACCCAACCGCGCGCAGGTGCTGGGCGTGTGGAAGGCGGCGAGTCACATGCTGAAGCACTTCAAGAAATGGCTGCAACCGCACAAGGTGCGCCCGGTGGCTGGGGAAGAGGGGGCTTGGGTCGGCGGGGATTGGGGCCTTGGATAGGGGGGGGAGGTGGGTGGGGAGAGGGGAGGGCATAGGGGTGGGGCATCCTTGGAGTGGGTGGGAGCGAGTGTTGCACTGACGCGCCTCAATGCGAGCTGACGTGCCTCAATGCGAGCTGACGCGCCTCAATGCGAGCTGACGCGCCTCAATGCGAGCTGACGTGCCTCAATGCGAGCTGACGTGCCTCAATTCGAGCTGACGTGCCTCAATGCGAGCTGACGTGCCTCAATGCGAGCTGACGTGACTGGTGGGCTGACCGGTCAAATGACGCAGCAGAGGAGTGGCTCTTTCCTCTCTTGTGACGCCTCCACGCGCGTCTGGTCGTTAACTCCCCCCCCCCCCTCCCCTTTCCCCGCCACCAGGTGGGCACGCCGCTGTTGTTGAGGCCAGGGCGGTCAGAGGTGCTGTATGAGCCGCTGGGCGTGGTGCTCATCATCTCGCCCTGGAACTTCCCCTTTCGTACGTCCCCTCCCCACCGCTTCTCCTTACAACTTCTCCACCGCTTCTCCTTACAACTCCCCCCTATGGAGCACGTCGTGTAAATGTCATGTCATGGCACCTCGCTGCTGTTCACTGGGCGTGGTGCTCATCATCTCGCCCTCTGGAACTTCCCCTTCCGTACGTCCCTTTCCCACCCCCCTTTCTTCTGCCTTCTGTTCTTTTCTGGATTGCTCTGCTTTGGACCTCCAAGTCGTTTGACTTGGCACCGCTCAACTTTCTGTATCCGGTTCCTGTTCGTTCTGTGCATTCACTTCACAGCACTCCCAGCATTCTCCTTCTCCCTCCCTCTCCTCTCTTCTCCTCTCCATGTCTACCCCTCTCAGTGCTGTCTCTGGAGCCGCTAGTGGGAGCGCTAGAAGCGGGCAACGCAGCGGTGCTGAGGCCCTCAGAGGAGCTCTCATGGTGCCATCTCTCTCCGCTCTATCTCGTGTGTGTTTCCATCTCTCAGTGCTGTCTCTGGAGCCGCTAGTGGGAGCGCTAGAAGCGGGCAACGCAGCGGTGCTGAGGCCCTCAGAGGAGTTCTCATGGTGCCATCGCTCCTCTCCGCTCTATCTCGTGTGTGTTTCCATCTCTCAGTGCTGTCTCTGGAGCCGCTAGTGGGAGCGCTAGAAGCGGGCAACGCAGCGGTGCTGAGGCCCTCAGAGGAGCTCTCATGGTGCCATCTCTCCTCTCCGCTCTATCTCGTGTGTGTTTCCATCTCTCAGTGCTGTCTCTGGAGCCACTAGTGGGAGCGCTAGAAGCGGGCAACGCAGCGGTGCTGAGGCCCTCAGAGGAGCTCTCATGGTGCCATCTCTCCTCTCCGCTCTATCTCGTGTGTGTTTCCATCTCTCAGTGCTGTCTCTGGAGCCGCTAGTGGGGGCGCTAGCAGCGGGCAACGTGGCGGTGCTGAAGCCCTCAGAGCTCTCCCCCGCCTGCTCGCACCTGCTCTCGCGCCTCCTCCCCCTCTACCTCGACTCGCACGCCGTTCAGGCAGGTGCTATCCACGCCAGGTGCTATCTCAGGCAGGTGCTATCCACGCCAGGTGCTATCTCAGGCAGGTGCTATCCACGCCAGGTGCTATCTCAGGCAGGTGCTATCCACGCCAGGTGCTATCTCAGGCAGGTGCTATCCACGCCAGGTGCTATCTCAGGCAGGTGTTATCCACGCCAGGTGCTATCTCAGGCAGGTGCTATCTGCGGCAGGTGTCATTTGAGCCAAGTGTATTCGAGGAAGGTTCTTTGTGGTACAACAGCAGGCAGTATAATTCATGGTTACAAATGCCAAGTGTTACAGGTGCTGTTGTGGCGAACTCTCCCATTCCGTTTCCTGGAATCCCAAACCCTTAAGAACGTCCGCCTTGAACCTTCTCCCACACAGACCTAGTATTGAGGCGCCTCAAATCTAGACTTCTCACGCGCGGTTTATATGTAGATAGGATTTCGTGGAATCCCATCCCACACCCTTACGAACGCCTGCAGTGCGCTCAGAGTGACACAAGGGGCGACGCGTGCACGTGCAGGCAGCAGCACATCCCTGCGGTTCGCTCTCATCCCCAACCCCCTTCTTCCCCAACCCCCTTCTTCCCCAACCCCCTTCTTCCCCAACCCCCTTCTTCCCCAACCCCCTTCTTCCCCAACCCCCTTCTTCCCCACCCCCCTTCTTCCCCAACCCCCTTCTTCCCCACCCCCCTTCTTCCCCAACCCCCTTCTTCCCCACCCCCCTTCTTCCCCAACCCCCCCCCCCTTGCCGGTGTGGGAGGGGGCACAAGGGGAAGGGGGGCCAGGCACAGGCAGGGATTGATTGGAACCGCCTCTGCACTGCACTCCACCCAACAGTCTTCACGCAGTCAAAGGCGGTCCAGGCAGAGGAAATCTAGACCGCCCCAAAAGCTCACCCTCGCTCTCTCTCTCTCTCCCCATGTGCTTCTACCCCCCGCCCTCCCTTCTTTCCTTGTTCTTTCCCCCCCTCTGCCCGTGCCCCTGCTGTGAAATCAGCAGGTGGTGGAAGGCGGCCCAGAGACAGGCAAGGCGCTGCTGGGGCGGCGGTGGGATAAAATCTTCTTTACAGGTGGCACGGCACTGGGGCGCATTGTGATGTAGGCGGCCAGTAAGCATTTGACACCTGTCACTCTGGAGCTGGGCGGCAAAAATCCACTGTTCATCGACGAGTCCGCTGACCTGGAGGTGTGTGCTGCCGACCTGGAGGTGTGTGCTGCTGACCTGGAGGTGTGTGCTGCTGACCTGGAGGTGTGTGCTGCTGACCTGGAGGTGTGTGCTGCTGACCTGGAGGTGTGTGCTACTGTCTCAAATGCAATGTGAATGCATGCCCCATGTCTCATGGCACATGCCACATGGTGGTGCATACCCCATGGCACATGCCACACGGCACATGCGACACCCCTTTTTCCCAAGCCTCCCACCCCTTCTCGCAATGTGCATGCATGCGACACATGCACCAATGCGTCACGCCCCTCACATTCACCAATGCGTCACGCCCCTCACCGCACTCGTGAGTTCACCCAATGTACTGAATCCTTTGCAGGTGTGCTTTCTAAAATGCTCCACCCGTGCCCCATCCCATGCTCCATGCCCCATGCACCCCCCGTGCTTGATGCTTTGGGCCATGCCCATTGCCCCATGACCCATGCCCCATGCACCGTGCCCCATACCCCATGCGCCGTGCCATATGCTCAGGTGTCAGCAAGGCGGATCGTATCGGGCAAGTGCACGAACACGGGGCAGGTGTGCCTCCTGCCCGACTACATTCTCGCCTCCAAGGACGTTGCTGCGCGGCTGGTTCGTCTAGAGGAGGTTGAAAGAGGTGCAGAGCGGTAAGAGGGACGGAAGGGACCGCAGGTGTGCCTCCTGCCCGACTACATTCTGGCGTCCAAGGACGTTGCTGCGCGGCTGGTGAGAGGGGGAGACGGGGCGAAAGGGCAGGGATTGGGGCGAGGCAAAGGGCGCAGGTGTGTGGGAAAGGGAAGTAGGATAAAATGAGGCAGGTGTGCCTGGAGCCAGACTATATCCGCGCCACCAAGGACGTGGCTGCAAGACTGGTGCGTCTGGGGGCCGGTATAAGGGGGTTGTAAGAGGGGCAGAGCGGTAAGAGGAATGGAAGGTATGAGCAGGTGTGCCTTGTGCCCGACTATAGACTGGTGCGCGGGGGAGAAGGGGCAGAATAGGGGCGGAAGGTGCAGAGATAGGGAGAAAAAGGTATTGGGGCACGGGAATGCGGGAAAAAGGGGAGGGCAGGTGTTCCTGGAGCCTTTCTATTGCAACTCCGCTCTCTGCCCGCCTCGCTCCTGTTCTTTGAATCTCCTCTCTCGTGTCTTCTCTCTGCCCTCTCTCCTCTCTCGCGCCCCCCCACAGCTGCCCCATCTGAAGGCAGCCGTGGAGCAGTTTTACGGCAGCAACCCCGCTGGGTGCCCTGACCTCGCCCGCATCATCAACACCTCCCACCTGCTCCGCCTGCAGAGGCTTCTCGACCATCCTGCTACCGCCTCCTGTGTCGTGCACGGGGGGCAGAGCGATGTGGAATCGAGGTGAGTCAGTGTGAGTCAACGCAGGCCCACTGAGTCAGGGAGAGTCCACACAGGTGACCATTAGCCTCCCCCCTGCCACAGCTTCTGGAGTACCCTGCCACAGCTTCTGGAGTACCCTGCCACAGCTTCTGGAGTACCCTGCCACAGCTTCTGGAGTACCCTGCCACAGCTTCTGGAGTACCCTGCCACAGCTTCTGGAGTACCCTGCCACAGCTTCTGGAGTACCCTGCCACAGCTTCTGGAGTACCCTGCCACAGCTTCTGGAGTACCCTGCCACAGCTTCTGGAGTACCCTGCCACAGCTTCTGGAGTACCCTGCCACAGCTTCTGGAGTACCCTGCCACAGCTTCTGGAGTACCCTGCCACAGCTTCTGGAGTACCCTGCCACAGCTTCTGGAGTACCCTGCCACAGCTTCTGGAGTACCCTGCCACAGCTTCTGGAGTACCCTGCCACAGCTTCTGGAGTACCCTGCCACAGCTTCTGGAGTACCCTGCCACAGCTTCTGGAGTACCCTGCCACAGCTTCTGGAGTACCCTGCCACAGCTTCTGGAGTACCCTGCCACAGCTTCTGGAGTACCCTGCCACAGCTTCTGGAGTACCCTGCCACAGCTTCTGGAGTACCCTGCCACAGCTTCTGGAGTACCCTGCCACAGCTTCTGGAGTACCCTGCCACAGCTTCTGGAGTACCCTGCCACAGCTTCTGAAGTACCCTGCCTGCCACTTCCTCCTGTGCCATCCGCAGGGGCCAGAGAGATGTGGAATCGAGGTGTTTCAAGGTGTTTCAAGGTGATTCAAGGTGATTCAAGGTGATTCAAGGTGATTCAAGGTGATTCAAGGTGATTCAAGGTGATTCAAGGTGATTCAAGGTGATTCAAGGTGATTCAAGGTGATTCAAGGTGATTCAAGGTGATTCAAGGTGATTCAAGGTGATTCAAGGTGATTCAAGGTGATTCAAGATAATTCAAGGTAATTCAAGGTGATTCAAGGTGATAGCAAAAAAAAAGCAAAGTAGAACAAAAAAAAAAAACCATCTTAAAAACACCACCCTATTTTGATAGCCAACCCAATTGTTCGTTTACCCTGATAACTCCTCTCCTCTTCAATTCTCCTCGGCACACCCACCCTCCCCCCCCCCCCCCTTTCACCCACCCTGCTTAATCTCCCACATCCCCCCCTCCCCCCCAGCACCAGATTCTTTGCCCCAACGCTGCTGCTCAACATGCCCTGGGATGCCCCTTCTTGATCTGACCGAGAGACAAGTTTTCCACCTCCCCCCCGCAACCATGCCTCCCCCCTCCTCTCCCCCCCCTCTCTCCTCCCCACTAGGTACTTTGCCCCAACGCTGCTGCTCAACGTGCCCTGGGATGCCCCCATCATGCAGTCCGAGATCTTTGGGCCCATCCTGGCCATCCAAACAGTAAGATCCCTCATCCTAGCCGTCTATTCTCCCTACCTCCTCGTTCCCCACAGTCTCAACCTGAAAGCCCCAATATCTCTGGCTCCACTCCCCGCTGCCGCTCCCCTCACCCGTTCCCATACATTCACGACATCTCACCTATTTCCATCTACGCGTGTCATATGCACTCATGCAGACACATCATCAGTACCCATGTCGTGTCACCTGCACGGCTTTTTCTCTCCCTATACAGCACTGCTATCCCCCTCTTTATCGCCCCCATCAGCTGTCAGGAATCGACGAGCCCATCAGCATCATCAACGTGCCCCAATGATAGTCGTTTTCTGTCTCCCCATGTGCCTTCTCTGCCCTTCTTCTCCCCCCTCCCTCACCCCCATCAGGTGTGAGGAATCCACGAGGATGACTCAAGCCTCATCAATGCGCGGGCTCCAAGCATCTCAACCCCCATCCCAGCGCCAATGATCTTCCGCCCGCCCATGTGCGTTCTCTGTGCTTTCATCGTCAGGTGTCAGGAGTGGACGAGGCCATTGGAATCGTCAACGCGCGCCCCAAGCTGCTCGTGGTGATGGTCTTCACGTCCCGGGAGGACGTGCGGCAGCGCTTCCTCAAGGAGAGCAGCTCGGGGGCTGTCGTGGCCAATGAGCTCATCCTGCAGGTGTGGGAGAGGGGAGAGGGTTCTGGGGGGGAAGGGGGAGAAAGAGAGGCATTGGGTTAGTGAGTATGATCACCTTCCGAGAGGACGTGCGGCAGCGCTTCCTCAAGGAGAGCAGCTCGGGGGCTGTGGTTGGCAACGAGCTCATCCTGCAGGTGCGGCAGGGGGGAGAGGGTTCTGGGGGAAGGGAGGAAAGGAGTGGGAGGGAAAGCGATAATCATGCGGTTAGTGAGTGTGCTTTGACCCGAGGGCGTGCAAAACCGTTTCATCAGAGAGAGGATTCGGGTGCTGTGGTGTCGAACGAATTCATCCTGCAGGTGTCGAAGGGGGAGAAGAGAGGGGTAGGGACGAGGGGAATGGGGAGCGAGGAGGGGCAGGGAGAAGAAAGAGGGTGGTAGTAAGTCTGTCCTCAGAACGAGAGTGTAAGAAGGGAAGCACCTGCGGCATCTGAGGAAGGTGCAGCCGGGGCAGGGAATATAGAGGGCATCAATACCCGCCGGGCCAGGGAATGTAGAGCTTCAATACCCGCCGGAGCAGGGAATGTAGAGCGACATACCTGCGGGAAGTGCCACCCCCTTCTCGTGCTCATGAATGAATCTTCTCTCCTTCTCACCCATCTCGCTCTTCTTCCCTCTTCCATCTCTACATTCTTCACCCCCACAGGTCTGCAACATGGAGTGCCGTTTGGTGGTGTGAGAGACAGCGGCACGGGGCAGTAGTAGGGGAGGTACTCAGTCCACCTTCTGTGGGGTACTGGACGCTGCTACTGTTGTTGCTCGGGCTTGCTAAGTGCCAGTGCTGGTGCAGGGCTGTAATGTTAGGTGTGACTGCTGCCAGATGATGGGTTCCCCCGTAGCATGAGGCAAGAGGAGATGATTGGCAAGGCTGTGATCAAAGGGGCGCATTGGACGCTGATGATGCTGCCCTTGCTGGGGCTGAAGTGTCAAATATAAAAATTATACATATATTTATAAAGTGGCTTAGCTAAGTTGTAGCGTAATGTACCGTATCACCCCGGATATAAGCGCCGGCGCTTCTATCTGGAGCCATGCGCTTATGGCGGTAACTGGATCTGAAGCGCACCCCTTGTGATTCCAGTACTTATTATGAGCGCATCTCTATAGTACAGTCTGATTTTTTTCCTTTTAATATGATATTTTCTCTAAACATTCTACTTTCAAGGTTAAAGCCCGAGTCTAGAATGGCTAACTTTCATATTTACTGAAGTTGAAGTTAGGTTTGCGAAGGATGGCGAGAGTAAAATTCGCAGAACAAGTGTGGCGAAGGGTAGAAGCGGGAAGTACAACCCAACCCAGCTTTCGAGCTCAAGAAGCAAGGCTGGCTGCAGAAAGGACAAAAATGCCACAATTTGCCAGAAGCTGAGATGCCTCGAGGGATTCACGAATGTTGACAATGCTGTTACGTAAAGGTTTTCAACATATATACCGGTAAGACCGATTTAGAAACTTGTAACAAATAGTTTAGGGTAAATGAAAAATAAAGCCTTGAGATGGGCGATAGGCTGGCTGTTACGGGTGCAATGAATCGAAGTAGCGAGAATTGCACTCAGGTGTCAAATGTGAGCGAAGGCATGAGCGAACATTTATATGCGAAACATGCAAACGGTAACGCGGCGCGTGCGAGCTAGCTAGTGCTACGCTGGAAGCGAGGCTCGGGCTAGTCCCGAAGCGTAGGCCGACACGGCCAGGCCAGCAGTGCGAGGTTTGGTGAAACAGTGCGCACGAAGTCGGCGAAGCCCCGTTAGTAGTAATGGGCGAACAATGGCTGTTGCTGTACGCGATGTAGTCGGGCTCCGTAAGGAATGCCGAGAAAATTCCTTACACTACCCCCCCCACTCAAGAAGCCCAATCCGCTACGCGGGTGCGTGTATATCGCGGAATCCTCGGCTCCTCAGGTACACTTGCAGGGCAGGGTGGTTTTCGATGTTGGCCAGAGGCACCGAGCTGTCCTCAGTTGGTGTGCGATCCTTCCAGCGAACGAGGAATTCAATCCTCTTGATTCCCGTGGGGTGTCGAATCCGATGGCTCAGGATTTTTTCGTGCTCGATGATCGGCTCCGATGCAGGGCGAGTCATGGATGGCGGGCGGTGGCGAGGCAGTTGGCTTGTGGTTGGGATGTATGGGCGAAGCAAGCTGACGTGGAACGAAGGGCTGATGTACCAGTCGGTCGGTAACAGTAGATGCGCGGTTACTGGCGTGATCATGTGGCTGATTTGGAATGGGCCACAGTAGCGCGGTCGAAGTTTTGGTACATCGGGCAGTCGCAGATTTTGCATGTCGAGCAGTACGTAATCCCGTGACTGGTATGTGACTGGGCGGCGGTGGCGGTCAGCGTTGCGCTTAGCGATGACGTTTGCTTTTTTAATTGCTTCTGCGGCTCTGGTGCAGGCACCTTGCAGAATTTCGGCGAATTGCTGTGCGCGTGGTGTTGGGTTGTCCGGACTCGGCGTCATGGGCACTGTAGGATTTTGCCCGTAGTTCAGGTAGAAGGGGGACTGCGGCGTCGTTGCTGACGTGGCATTATTGTACGCGAACTCGATCAGCGGCAGCTGCTGCTCCCAGGTCGTGGGGTCGTTGCACGTGGAACGAATCAACTGCTCCATCGTCTGATTCGTCCGCTCCATTTGACCGTCGGTCTCGGGGTGGTATGACGAACTGAACTGTAGCCTAGTTTCGAACTGCTCCCAGAGGTTCTTCCAGAATTTGCTGGTGAACTTCGTGTCCCTATCGCTGATAATCGCTGATGGTATCCCGTGTAGGCGAACAACGGCTGCGATGAACAGACGGGCAGTCTCCTCGGCTGAGATCGACTTTTTGCACGCAGCGAAGTGCGCCATCTTCGTCAACCTGTCAACGACGACCATCACCGCGTCGTTACCCCCAGGGTTCGAAGGTAACCCTGTAACGAAGTCCATGGTAACCTGCTGCCAGGCGCGCTCGAGCGGTGGTATCGGCTGCAATTGACCCGCCTTCCGCTTCCTTGAGCTCTTCATCACCTGACACGTGGGGCACGAGCCGACGTGCTGCTGCACGTCGGTCAACAGCTCCGGCCAGTAGTAATACCGCTGCAGTTGCTGTCGCGTTTTTTCTACCCCAAAATGTCCCGAGGTAATTCCGTCGTGTGCCTCCAGCAGTAGGAGCTCCTTCAGTAGTGAGTACGCGGGTACCCATATGCGATTGGTGCCTGCTTTAACGTAATAAACTCCTTTAGCTTATGCCAATTGCTGTGAATTTCTGGTCGTGAAAAATGGGTCGGCGCAATATCCGTGGGTCAATAGGCCTGTTAAAAGCAGGTTGGTCTGTGAAGAAATGAGGAAATGAATGCACTAGCAGGCAGGTGGGTACAAGTAGGAAAACCTAGAAGTGTTGTACCCCATATTGTCTACCCCACTATAGCCTACACAGACTACAACATATAAGTTTGACACACCCCCATACGCAGAGTGGGGGACAACAAGAGGTCACAAGACCAGTCAAGCAAAGAAAAGCACGCTCAGGGTGGATCACAACGTCCCCACACAATCCGAGCACAAGAGCAAGGCCAAAAGGCCAGTTCACAAGCAAGATCATATATAAAGGTAAACAAGCAAGTGCAGGTATAGAAAGATCACAGTGCAAGCAAGGTCAAGAAGTGAGCAAATGAAGCCAAGTAGGCACAAGACCTAACATCGTACAGAAGCGCTGATGATCACCAGGCGGAAGTGCCTTGGTAAAGATATCAGCAGTGTTGGCCTCAGAGGCCACGTAAGCAAGGCGCAGCTGACCACGCTGCTGCAGCTCACGAGCAAGGAAGTAGCGGAGAGCAATGTGCTTCGTTTTGTGCTCTAGTCTGTGCTCCCGACACAAGGCCAGCATGGCCTTGTTGTCTACATACAGAACTGGAGGAGAACGAGGCGGCTCTCCTAGGTCAGTCAGCAGGTAGGTGAGCCAGCGTAGCTCCTGTGCAGCCATGGCCCCAGCGTAGATCTCAGCCTCACAGCTGGAGCCGAGAACAGAAGACGAGCGGGTAGACCGCCACGAAACAGAGCCGGAGCCAAGGCTGAAGGTGTAACCCTGTGACGACCGCTGTGTGAAAATAAGAAAACAGGAATGAATGAACTATGAATGAAAGCAGTACAAATATGAAACCCTAACTGGGTTGTACCCCCTATGGGATACCCCACTACAGCCTACACAGCAGTATAAGCTATAGATATGTTCTGACACACCCCCATAGGCAAAGTGGGGGAGAACAAGGGGTCACAAGACCAGTCAAGCAAGACAAAGCAAAGCTCAGGGTGGATCACAAAGTCACCACACAGTCCGAGCACAAGAGCAAGGCCAAAGGCCAGTTCACAAGCAAGAGTACAGACATATATATAAAACTAGACAAGCAAGAGCAGGTATATATATATGTCACAGTACAAGTGAAGTCAAGAGGAGAGCAAGTGAGGCAAGACAGGCACAAGACCCAGCTGGGTGCAGAAGCGCTGATGGTCACAAGGCGCAAGTGCCTTGGTGAACACATCAGCAGTGTTGGCCTCAGAGGCCACGTACGCAAGTCGCAACTGACCACGCTGCTGCAGCTCACGAGCAAGGAAGTAGCGGAGAGCAATGTGCTTCGTTCTGTGCTCCAAGCGCTGCTCTCGACACAAGGCCAGCATAGCCTTGTTGTCTACGTACAGCACTGGAGGAGAACGAGGCGGCTCTCCAAGGTCAGTCAGCAGGTAGGTGAGCCAGCGAAGCTCCTGTGCAGCCATGGCCCCGGCGTAGATCTCAGCCTCACAACTGGAGCCGAGAACCGAAGACAAGCGAGTAGACCGCCACGAGACAGAGCCGGAACCAAGGCTGAAGGTGTAACCCTGTGACGACCGCTGCGTAGCCTGGTCGTCAGCCCAAGAAGCGTCCGCGTGGCCGGTAAGGACCACTGGACTCCGCCCTCCAAGCACTAGCCCCATGCCTGACGTACTGCACAGGTAGCGCAATACCCTCTTCGCTGCAGCC